ATATTTCTGTTAGCACAAAATTTACAGGACTGAGCCTAATTTGTCCTAATAAAAATAGTTGGTTAGTAGTTTACAGTATACTGAGATGAAATATTTGTGATATATATAAAATAAGCATTGACTAGATAACTAAATTATTTTTACATGGTTGTCCAATTATCAGGTAATTCCCGAAGAGCTAATTTCAATGGCTCAGAGATACAAGCAATTTCAGTTGAAAAAAGAAATGGAAAAGGATTGTGGAAAGCCTCGTGGGAGATCACAGAAAAACATTTAATGCAGTTGGAGATCCTAAAAGCTGTGTATTTAGAAACGTTAGTAATGAAAGGCCATATTTTTCAGTCCTTATATCTTGCAGACCTCATTTAGAAAAACTTGGATTTCCCTCAAACGGCACAATTTTCTGTAAGTATATTTCCAGATTTGAGAAGAATGCATATTATATATGCATCATCTGTTTATACAATAGACATCAAGTGTTAATTGCAACTTCTCCTAAGTAGTTTGAGAATAAGGGCCTTAATGGGATATAGAATAGGACTCACAGACATACACTACATTGATTACGTCTTCTCATGTTCAGGGAGGAAACTTACATAGAAAAGTGATAATTTGTCAACTTTCCAGTAACATCTTCACCAGTGAAGTTCAGAAATAGTAAAAATTATGCCTGCTTCTAATTATTTTGAAATGTCTCTATTTACTGTAAAATATTTTAATGTAGTACTGTAACAAATGAGCAGACGTTTATTGTTCAGTTTCAGACTTTGGTTAAGATTAAAGAATCCAATAACTTTCTCTGTTGTAGGTAAGGTAAAGAAGGTTAATTCTTGTTTCCTGATTTTCAGTTTTGTTAGAAGGGAAAATGTATTTCATAGAATGCCAACAGAAAGTTCAAAAGAAATGACAATGAGGCTAACAGGTTTCTTTTCCCTCACCTTATTTAAATATCAGTCCTAAGTGTATTTTCATTGGTAGAATGTCCAAATGCAGTGTGATACCATGCCAAATACACTCCATATAGTGTATTGTTATTGGGTCTGGAACAGAATCCTGTTTGATGGTACACATTTTGATAAAGAAAGTGTTTTTCAGTAACATTTTCCTTTCTTAATCTTCTCTTCATACTCATTAAACTGGTGAGCTTTAGAGATGTTTGCATCTCTGTATTGCATTTTTATGAATGCTTTTTCATTCAAGATACTAATTTTGCATAACTAGCTTTTGGGCTGCCTGACCTGGATGGCCCAGGCTAGCCCTCTCTCATCAGATCTCAGAAGCTAAGCAGGGTCTGCTCTGGTTAGTACTTGGATGGGATGAGAGACCACCAAGAAATTCCAGGAATGCTATGTAGAGGAAGGCACTTAGTCTCTTGCCTTGAAAACCCTATGGGGTCACCATGAGTAGGGGTGTGCAAAAAAAAAAAGCTGGTATTTTTCGGGTTTGGGTAAATCAGACCCTAAAAATATCGCTAAGTGCTGAATTTCCCCAGTAAAATACCGGTAAGGTATTCAGATTGGGGCTAAATTCGGTATTCCCGAATATATTTGGGTCCAATTTAAGCCACCCGAGGGAAAGGAAGCATGTTAGCATGCCTTCTTTCCCTCTGGTAGATCCTACAGATTTCTCTGTCAATTTCACTCCCCGCCAGTCATCTGGGAGTGAAATTGAAAAGGGGAAGCCTGGCTCTCTGCCTTCCCTTCTCTAGCTGACAGATTGTAGCTGGAAAAGGGCAGGCAGGGAACCTAGGCATGTTTACAATGCCTTTCTTTCCCTCCCCGATCTCAGCATGCCTGCTTCCCTTCCCAATCTTCTCCAGACGCCCCGACATCGGGAAGGGAAAGAAAGGCATTTAAACATGGCCCCCTCCGCAGTCGCAGAGAGGCCCAGGAAAGAAAGAGGGCATATTTGCCTGGCTACCCTCGATCCCCCCAGCCAGCCCACCAAACATGCCTGCTTCCCTTCCCAATCTTCTCCAGGTGCCCTAACAGCATTTAAACCCACCAGTGGACTGGTGGCTGAGCCGGCTGTTAGGGTTTATGAGACCTTTTTCATATAGCAAAATGAACCTGAAAAAAGCCTGATAATTACGGCTTTTTCGGGTTCAGCTATACCGGTGATCTGTATTCGGCTTATGTGATACCGGAAAAATACCGACAAGGTATTTTTCATGTCGGCTATAGCTAAATGCACACTCCTAACCACGAGTCAACTGCAACTTGACAGCACTTTACACACACACACAAAATTTCTGGGCATGTTCTCTGTTGGAATTTATTAGGTATGGTATAAAATTTCAAGGTTGTAGGTAAGAGTAGGTTTGATATTCCGTGGCTTTTCAAAGGTTCTTGGGAGTAAAATAAATTATCAGTACCACTGATGAAACACAGATCCAGGAAATTAAGGAATCAAATGCAAACAGTAGTGTTTCTTGTATTTTATTCTTTTAAATAATCATGTCATCTTGCAATAAATTGATTGCTGATTAGTATTGAAAGAAAAAAACACTAGAATTTAAATAACAGCCAGCAAGGAAGACAGTCACATCTACATCATAAGAGCTAAGAGTCTTGGGGGGGGGGGGGGGGTCGCTATATTAAAACCTAAGCCCAGATGCCAGAAAAATAACAGCAGTTTGGAATGAGGAACAATAAATTGGTGTCCATATTAGGTAGCCTCAAGCTAATCAGAAAAGTAGGGTGCCATCAACATTCAATGACTGAAGCCTAGTACTGATTTTTTGCTCATCCAGTTAAGTTGATGGTCTAGTTCCTAGCTGCATAGACAGGCAGTAGTAAACTGATGGACTCCTCATGAAATAGTTTTGGGGGAAGTGCTTTGAGGAGAAGAACTGGTTTTTATACCCTGCTTTTCTCTACCCTAAGGAGTCTCAAAGGGGCTTACAATCACATTCCCTTCCTCTCCCCACAACAATCACCTTGTGAGGCAGGTGGGGCTGAGAGAGTTCTGACAGAAATGTGACTGGCCCAAGGTCACCTAGTAGGTTTCATGTGGAGGGGTAGGGAATTAAGCCCAATTCTCCAGATTAGAGTCTGCCACCGTGCTGGCTGGTGTCATTGTGGGCTCTGTACCCTACTGAATCCAGAAATGGCTTTAACTCCTACCTGAGATTGTTAAATGTCTCAATGCATTTATTCAGGCTGGAACCTGCCAACGATCCAGATTTCTCAGTTTCATTGGAGCTACTAGTGCAGCGGCTTCTGGGACCCTTTAAAACAGAGGTGTCAAACTTATTTGTTACGATGCTTGGATCTGACATAAATGTCACTTTGTTAGGCCAGGCCATGTATGTCATAAAATGTAACACGAGATACAGGCGATATAAACTTTAAAAAGATGGTTTCAGATGTTGAATGGAAATACCAGGTGAATGACAATAGCAGGCTTGATTGGATCAGGTGTGATATGCAGAGGGGTAGTAGGCATGGATATACCAGCATTGGTAATGAGACAGAAAATCTAGGTCTCAGTTCCATCCAGGAGGATTCAAAGAATAAATGGGCATAAGTGACATTAGAAACCAGAACATTCAGTTGCTGGCCTAAGAGTAGCAGTGCTCTTACAAAGGAATTTCAAAGGGAGATTAGAAAGAGAGACTGCTGAATTGCAATTGATAATGAAGCTCAAGACAATGCATCTTCCTGGACTGAATTGAGAGCTAGTTTCCCTGTCTCATTACCAAAGTGTGCTATTATCATTTGACATCTGAAATCACTCCACCCTCCAAGATACAAGGATCAGTCCGTGTTCTAATTCCTAATCAGGTTCTTTTTGAAAGAAAATAAATCCAAATAGGAACTGAGAAATCCAATCTCTTTTTTTGGGAAAAAAAACTTTTCAGAATAAGCCAAAATAATTTCCTCAATGTACCTTGTGCTTGTCAGAAGAATCCACCCACGCTCTCCCTCCCTGCCTGCTTCGAAGTATGCTTGCGCACAAAAGCTTATACCTGGAATAAAATGTTGTTGGTCATGAAGCTGCAGTGTGACTCCAACTTTGTTTTCTCCCTCTCTTTCCTCCTCCCTCCCCAAAAGAGGAGGTGCAGCCCTGGAGAAGGAAGCAGAAGCTCTGTGTGTGTGTGAGAGAGAGAGAGTCAGAAGGATAGAGGCTTGTCTTTGTATCAAGACAATGCATCCTCCTGGGCTGAACTGAGAGCTAGTTTTCCTGTCTCTCTCCTGCATGAAGCATCCGCAGAGCTTTCTGTGTGTGAGAGAAAGAGAGCAAGGGAGGGGGAGGGAAGGCAAGAGGCAGGAAGCAAAGAGTCGCTGAGGGAGCTGGGGGGAAAGCAAGCTACAATGTGGCTGCAGAAGCAGCCCTGGGAAAGAAAGCAGGAGAAGGAAGTTGCTCAGGGGCTGGATTTGAGCCCTCTGCAGGCTGCGTGTTTGACACCCCTGCTCTAAAAGAAGTTTGAAGCATAAAGTGTGTGCACATGTATCAGTAGTGCCAGGAGAGAGAGGAAACAGGCATTCTACCTTTCCCTTTGTTCTCAACACAAAAACTGGTGACCTGTGCAGTGACACTAAGGAGACAAAGAGGAATCAAAAAGCCCTTTCCTGCTGCTGCTGTAGCCCCTCATCTCACCCTGCCACAAATAATCATTTTGTTTGTTCCTTTTTCTTTATAGAGCTTAAGTTTAGAAGAAATAACTTCCAATTAGGTTTATATCCTTTTGTGAATTTAGATAGTTCATATTTGTTGGAATATTGGAAATTTAGCGGTTCGTTCACTTTCAATTACATTTTTAAGTATTTTGCACTTCGAATCAGTGCAGATTAAGTTGCATTCAGGAATAAAAAAATGTTTAAGTTCAGCCTTTGTAAGACAATCAAGAAAATAATCCAGAAGTCTTCCAAAGCACTCCTCTACATTTATAGGGAGCCATTCTTCATCACTGGTCCACTTGGTACATGCGTGGAAAAAGGCAGTTTTGGCATGATAAGAACAGAATTTGCTGAATTGATTTCGGCTCTGATGTTTTGTTTTCAGCTGCTCCAGAAGATACTTCAGAAGCTTAAGGCAATCTTTCCTGTTGGGAAATAATGGAAATGCTTAATTTTGGATCACATAATCCTTACAAGCAGCAGTTAGTTTGAATGGAATGTTAGCAGGAGATGCACAAGACCTGGAGCTGCAGCCAGAGCTCTTGGTCAAAAGGGATGCACTTAAAAGCAACACCTGCTATCACCCTCTATGGCCATCTAAAGCCTTTACAGCAGTTGTGATTTTAGAGGGCGGTTATATTCCAGGTCCTAAAAGTGTGCACACAGCCAAACTTGGCCTTGGATCTGCTTCGGTCTATTCTAATTGTGAATTATGCACTGTTTCTAAAAAATCTGCACAGGCTTTTTCAATACCCTTTTGAATCTGTTCCCTTAAAATCTTCAGGAACTGTTCCATGGACAAATCTCACACCAGCATATTCTCATCCATTTCCTCCTCCTCTTGTGTTACCAACGCCATTTTAATTACACAGTTCAATTCATTTCACTCAAGTTCTTATATTCATGCACAATATATAGTCTTTTCTGTCCATTTCCATAAGTCCATGCCAATGGAAAGAAAAAGCAAGAAAAAGTTCTCCAAAGTTGCAAACACGCCAGAGAATATTCCTGCCGCTCCTAATAATCTTCTGGTCGCTAAACCTCCCCTTCTCAAGCAAATGATTTTAGGGTAACGTCACCACCAATTTTCTCTATTACAAAGTTATAAGTAGTTGTACTCACAAATTCACTTCTTGGGCTTCTTCTTCGGTGTTATTTACTTGAAGTTTTTAAATCCAAACATGGTTAAAACGGATGGCTGCAGCTACGTACAACATGGCGTCCATGCTCCACCCCACAAGTTGCTCCTGCTTCGGGGCAATAATGGAAACCCCCCCACATTTGCCAGCTGCGGGAGGGTCCACAACAGAGCCCCCTGCTCCAGTCCTCTCTCCAGGGAGTTCTCCCGGCAACCGGGAGACTCCAAAAGTAGCGAAAAGGGGTCGGGCAGCTCGAAGCAAACCGAGAGCCGCCCGTTGCTGCGCCGTGCCAACTTCCCAGCGCCGACTCCAGCATACTCATTATGAGGCCTGGGCTTCATGGAGGGGTGCCTGTTCCCCACCCCATGGAATATCCTTAGGGAATCAACTGGCAGGACCTGTGCCACAGTAGAGCCCCACGAATCTAACTGTGTTTCAGCAGCAAGGTCTCAGTTTTGCACTGCCCATATGTTAAAACATACACTGTTAAAGCTCCATTTTTTATTGGTTACAATTTGCAGAAGACCCCCGTTTCATGCATAGGCGTAATCTTCGTGGGGGCGGCGGGGCTTCAGCCCCCGCCGAAATTTTCAGGAAAGTGCTCAGCCTGTTTTGCACTGCCCATATGTTAAAACATATACTGTTAAAGCTCCATTTTTTACTGGTTACAATTTGCAGAAGACCCCTGTTTCATGCCTGTTTCACTAAGCTTTCTGGGAAGAATTGGGCTAATGTTAAAAATACGAGATTATGTCAGAGAGGAACCATTCCTGCCTTGCACATCTGCAAGATCTAGTTTGGTACCCCACTGACTTTATTCTTCCACTTTAGTGTAGTGGCAGAATAGGCTGAATGATGCAACCAGTGTATTCTTTACAATGGCTACAGAAAACTTGGAATTGAAAAAGAACATTTTAAGATACAAACCTGCAACATTTGCTTCCATTACTTTCACAGCATGTCTTTGTCTGGCCATGATACTGGATTATAGTTTTCTCAGCAAGCGAAAAAGAGAGTCTCCATGTGTCTTAAGTTTGAAAAGTAAAAAAGGCACAGCATTTTATTGCAGAACTCATTCTTGCAGTCATTTTTTAACCAGAGGTTAAATATCTGACAACTCCCTAGAACATATACGATAAGAACCAGAGTGAAAAGATAACAGTTACTGCCCTGATGCCACCATTGATCTTAATTCTGCCACTCTGCACAGATATGCTGGACAAGAGCCAGATGCTGTAAAGTACATTGCAGTAGCCCTGAAGTCTGACCAGATTACTTCCATAACCTTGTAAAAATCTCTCAATAAATTATTTTAAATTACATTTAAACTATATTTTAACAATAATTTAAACATAAGAGAAAACAGAATCAAGTCAAATTTCACCCACCCCTTTCCACTATACTGGTAGACATGGCCTCCAGAGAACAGGTCTAACCACTCCTGTCCACTTTATCAGTAGACCTGGCTTCTGGAAAACAGGTCTACCTTCCCCAGTCCACGATATTGGTAGACCTGGCCTCAGACCATCATCCTGTGCTGAGCCTTAGAAAACATGCCAGCACTTGGGGGAGAGGGGGCTCTTGCAGTCTACTTTGGGGGGGGGGGTTAGTGAAATATGACAACCAGCATTACAGGTCAAGTATAACAGAGGAGGAACAATCACTATCAAAGCCCTGCTTAACCTAACAAACAGGAAGTTGCTTAAATGTTATCAACCTGGCCAAACTACTTATTTATTCAAATATTTATATCCCACTTTTCTCAGTGAATCAAGGCAGCTAAACAAATCATACAGGGGGGGGGTTAGTGAAATATGACAACCAGCATTACAGGTCAAGTATAACAGAGGAGGAACAATCACTATCAAAGCCCTGCTTAACCTAACAAACAGGAAGTTGCTTAAATGTTATCAACCTGGCCAAACTACTTATTTATTCAAATATTTATATCCCACTTTTCTCAGTGAATCAAGGCAGCTAAACAAATCAT